GTAGGTTAAATGGCTTCTCCAGGGACCTCAGAATCCCGAATGTAGAATAACATTCTCCAGGGTGACTCCCAAGGTACCTGCTGGTTCCACTAGGCCACCGTATGGAGCTATGTTATCAGATTTTGCTTCTGATTTAAAAGGAAGGGCCTCTTCTTGATTTTTTCTTCTGGGAAAGACACAGGGAAAGGAGCTCCTGACCTGCTTTCAGAGCTCACTAGCTTAGAGAGTTTCTTCAGGTAATACCAGTATATCTGCCTCGGTTGCTACATCATGTCTGACAGAGAAGGTTAGGGAGTGGAGAAAATGGAGAAGGAAAAGGAAAGGGAACAGAGTATGAGAAGGACAATAAAAGAAAACTTGGTCAGAAACTTTGCTTCTGTGCCATCTTATTGAGATGTTTGAAAAATTAGCATTTTCTATGTCATTCTTAAGTGCCTGCAAATGGTAACCTATGGCTTAAAGGCATTGCCTAAGAAAAACCCTCCAAGCATGATGCTCAGCCTAAAAGGATCATTCCAATTAAAACAAGCCTTTGCCATATTGCCAAACAGGGCTGCTCCCATTTGACTAGGTGCGTGGGTAGTTCCCACAAAGCTGTGAATCCCGCATGAACACATTGGCCAGGTATTTCCAGCCAGTCAAATAGGTGAAGGATTCATTTCCTATAAAAGACATTTGATTACAGTGTTGAAACAATTAACACATTCCAGGCTTGCCTGTGATGATGCCAACCCAGGGCTCTGTGTTATAGATGCTGATTGACTCAGACTATGAATTCCTCCTAAAACGAGTGTGTGTGTGTGTGTGTGTGTGTGTGTGTGTGTGTATGTGTGTTTGTGTGTGAGAGAGAGACTCTTCCCTTTGTTTCTGAACCTTATTCTCCTCATTCCTTTATATGGAGAGGGCATTTGCTTTTAAAATCCTTTTTCATTAAAAAACCATTTTAAATAAAATGAGTAGATTAGGATAAATGGAGCCAAGAAATAGGCTCATTTCTGTCTAGATCAGGCTACATTTCCCATTGTTTGCTACATGGGAATCATGGGAGCTCATAGTAAGACACCACAGTAACTAGTTGCTAAAAACCATATAGAGATACCATTTACAGCCTTTAAATGATACCTGAAGGAGGGGTTTGGAGATGTTGTTTCTGGCATCATGTCCTGTTTATAGATAGATGACTGTACACAACAGGGTGAGTCACACCACAGCAAGATGTGTCTGTGATCTTTTGTAAGAAAAGCCAAAACAAGGACATTAGATTTGAAGCATCTGTGATGAACACTCAAAAACAAATGGAGAAAAGGCAAATGGTACTCTGGGACTGGACCAGAGGTCAACGTCTCATAGTTGGTTCAAGGTTGATTTCATTAGATCTCCTGTTTGGCTCTTACAGCTATGTTGATGTGTTGGGATGCGAAATGGAAGAAAGAGTTGGATTTTCTCATTGGCCAATTGCTTTTCCCTCTGGACCCTAGACTCTCTGTGATATGAAGAAAGCAATGAACTGCTGTCAAAATACCTTTCTAATGTTGGAGCTCACCCAGCCCATGACATAAAGCAGACAGCTGGGGCTGATGACACAAGGCTCCTAATGGTTCCTCATTAGATGCAGCAAGTCATGGGAATGGAACTCTGATGAACTGAAAGGGCATCGGTGCTATTGTGTGTTTTTGCTCTGGGAGAGTACATAATATATAACAGAATATGGGAATTTAAGTTACTTAGAATTCAATCTCATCATGGTGTGGTAATGAGTGCTAACTTCTGCAATCAGTACTTTCTTCAAGGTTTAAGTGGGATTGTTATTAGCAGTTATTTTACGGTGGTTGTGTGATCACCAAACACTTGATAATGTATTGACTCTTATTGGTTAACACTGGCTTAGAGTCGGGCAGATAGACATGTGAAAGAGGTGCTGTCCATGAATGTGCTCATGTATAGGGCTAACGCCAGAGTCTAAAAGAAAAGGTCTAAAAAAGGGGGTGAATGGAGATGATTAGTGCATGGTGTCTGCATATGTAGAAAGATCACAGAGGATCCTCATTAATGCACAGTTATTGTGTTAACTTAAAAAGATGGAGAAAGGCACACGCATATGTGTGTGTGTGTGTGTGTGTTCTTGTGTATGCACTGATGCATCAGAGGAGTGACGTCAGGTGTCTTCTTTTATTTCTCTCTGTTTCAGTTTTTTAGAAGACAATGCTTCTCACTGAACCTGTAGTTTACCGATTGGCGAGGCTGGCTAGCCACAAGCTCCAGCAATCCTCCCGTCTTTGCCTTTCCAGCCCTGGGAATATAGACAACTGCACCTGGCTTTGTGTGTTGGTTCTGTGGTTCCCAACTCAGGTTCTCATACTGCTGACCTACTGCTGAAGTATGTGAAAAACAAACAACAGACACACACCTACCCTGCCCCATGGCTGTATAGGGGATACCTATTTAGCGCTCTAGAAAAATCCAGACTTCACACTGCCTTTTTTTGCCATAGGTACACAAAATCCTGAAGATTTTTTTACATGCTTTTATACAAAGGAGGCAGTCAAATATTTTAGGTCTTGGAGGTGCTGTATTCTGTCTTTATTATGCAGGTCATGATATTTTATTTTTAGCATGGGTGGTATGGGAGGTATTTTGGTTAGAGCAGGAGAAAGATGCCTTTTTTTTCATAAACAGAGAATGTCATTACTTCATCAGTCCAAGGTTAGAGGTTCCTAAACTCTGGATTCAGATGGAATCAAATCCCAGAGGAAGGTGAGTAGCTCTCACCTGTTGCCAAATGGTTTTCAAGTTAGTGTTGATGATGTGTACCAGACAGGATCTTCCTGGCCTAGCACTGAGTCAAACTAAAAGGAAACCACCATGGATGGAAACGACACATATCTAGGTTCTAACTTAGAGACTACAAACTCATTTCTGTCTAGCACTATACGTCATTTATAAAGCCTGGTCTCTATCATTAGCTCATTGGAGCCTTCCACCATATGCCAGGCAGGACCAATGCTGTTCGCTTTTACTCAAGGTCACACACAGACTGGGGGGAGGCTGCTCATGGTTTCTGAGCATCAGTTCTTTATTCTTTCCATATTTCCATTTTGCATTCTGAGATGATGTGCAGGGAGGTGCCGAAAGGACCTACTCTGCATATTGCAATGAGAAATTAACATCAGAAGAGCTTCTTCTGGGAATTCTGCATTCTGCCTGCTTGGTGTAAGCCACTGCTTGCCTGGAGGAAGCACATGGCTGAGCCGTGAGTCCAGCAAGGCAAGTGTCTTTGATGTGAGCATCAATGGGCATCTGATACATACTCTTAAGAATTCAAAAATGCTTTATTAACATAATTGTGGGTATAATCACAAAAAATGCTCTTTTTAAATTCCCCCCTCAACTGAACATTGTTAAAACTTCCAAATCATGCCTGGATAACTAAATTTACAGAGAAAGAATTTTAAAATAAAACAATGATAAAAGAAAATAAGGTCTAGGCTGTAGCTAGTTGCAGAACGTGCATAATGATCAAGTACAGAGTGGGTTCCACGTGATCTTCACAACAGCCCTGTTAAGTAGGCATGGTCTTCATTGAACAAACAAGGGAATTGATTTGTCAAAGGCCAGATGCTCTGTGCAGGGTCACAATAGGAAATAGACAGGTTTAGGACATGGGGTCTTTGGACTCTACATTTTGTGTTTGATTTAGGTTTTTTTGTTTATTGTTTGTTTTTTCACTTTTTTCTTTTTCTAACACCTCTGAAAAGCTTCAATACTTTTTTCAAAGAATGACTTGCTTACTCTGGCCTTGCTCTAAAAGTTGTGACACTGGCTGGTGCAGAATGGTGGCTGCTGGCATTCGGAGTGGCTGCTTGTTTGCAAGTAGAGATTACCCACTAATGCTCTTTTGGAAGATTTGTGGTTGGTAGTTTCATCTCTCTCTGATGAATAGACTGAAGCAGGAATCTAAGCTATTTTGTCATTGTTACCCATCAGGTCTTGAGAAATCCAGCTCTATGCCCCTTGTCAAACAAGCAGATCAAAGTCTCATACCCTAAGGGATAGAAAGAGAAATAGCCAACATTTAATGAAAGGACCCAGGCTATTGCTTCAAAATGACTCCATGGAGAGAGCTCTAGAGTCATCCCACACAGCTAGTCATAATTCTTAAAGATACTCAGAGAAGAAACTTGTGGTTCCTACAATTTCGGAGACTATGGATATCTGCCACAGGTGAGGGCATAGTATATCCTCCCTAACACACAGGAGGCTGAGGCAGGGCAATGGCAAGTTTAAGTCCCACCTGGGATACAGAGTGAGTTCAAGGTCGACCTTGGCAATTTAGTAAGACAGAGCCTGAAAATAAAACATGAAAATAAGGGTGGGGAAAGAGTATAGAACATGCAGGAAAACCCCAGTACCCTCAAAGTTATCTTTTGGTGAAGGGGATATGTACTAGGACAGATAAACAATGGTCGAGGCAGCAAAGGTCAGTGCGATCCAGGCTTGCCATTGTTTCCTTCCTGGAAACCAGATGTCTGGGGTCTTCCTTATTTATTCTGCTCCTGTGTTGGCTTCATGCTACATCCAAAGAAGGAATCTAGAAGGCAAGACTGTGGCTTTTTATCTTCATGTGCCAATTGCCAAAACCAATCCCAGAACTTGTCTGACTGGCTCTACAGAGGCACAGAGATAAACAAGGCTTGAGTAAACAAAAGGAAAACCTGCCTGTCCATCACATGGCTAGGCAAGCAATGTAGGATGCCTTTGTGGGCACTTGCTAAATCAGTTCCCATCCCAGCAATAATGCAAAATATCCTTCCCGAGAAATGTGACTGATTATCATGTTGATAGCAGTGACTTAGGGAAGGAGAAGAGTAAAAGATGGGGCCCCACTGTAGTAGTAAGAAACTAAATACCTTAAGGGACTGGGGGTTTCTTAAACCTTTCTGGCAGGAGCATGCACTGGCCTCTCTTTCATGAATGTGGGTCATTCTCATCACCTTGGGATGCTAGACTTTGGCAGGTCTGGTGATGTAACAAGGCTGCACATGCTCGTGAGAAGAAATGACCTTCCCATCCTTGATCTCCTTGGTGATGGTGCATATCTTAACCAGTATCCGGGATGGGGGTCCAGAGGCACTGCAGGGCTTGTGAATCTCAGGCAGTGATGAAGATGTATAAACTGGGGTAAAATACTCCACAGCTCTGGCCTGGAAGGAAGGCTCACATTTGGTGGCACATGGGTTACAGGGAAGCCTAAGTAGAAACAACAAAAACAACAGAATTTTAGCTGTGATTAAGGAAGGGCAATACTAGTGATGGAGAAGATGGGAATGGCTAAAACTGTCAATACTTGTCATTCAAAATAAGCACTGCTGAATGCTTATTCATTCATTCATTCTGTGCTGTGGTTAGTAGAAGAACCACAATCAGAGCAATTCTATTGGAAGACTGCCTCCTAGCTTGAGAAGTAGTTTCTGGCTTAAGCTTCTACTCTAGCCCCATGGGAACCACACTGCACCAGCAGTAAAAACAGGGATAGGGCCCAGCTTTCTTGTTTGCCAGTGGGTGATGTTGGGTGAACCAGTCAGCCCTCCTGAGCTTTAGTTTTGTATGGGCAGAATAGACACAATGGGAACTAAGGAATGCAGCAAGCAAGCAGATCTGCTTATTGTCTGGGAAATGGAGATGAGTTTGATAATTTTCTTGTGTTGGGGAAAGTTTTCATATAATTAGTGGTGACTTGAATCCCACTTATGCAGGAGTTTTTAGAACATCACCAGGAAGTGTTGAAGTGCCCTTTGGATGACTCTAAGTTTTTTTTTAATTGGAGTAGCCAGAAGTTTGTAGTACACTCTTTTTATTGGATAACTGACTGGTGGCCCTTGGGCATACTGTAGTTCTTTAAAGGGACAGCGTCACTTAGCATTGTACTTGTGCTGTGTGCATGTGACAATAAAGAATACAGTGAAGAGAGGTGACTGATTGTTTTGGGGCAGTTGGTGTCCTTTGCAATTTTAATGAAGCATTTGTGGGGTTAGTTTGGCCTGAGTTACTTCAAAGAACTCATTTTTAGCTGAGTTCTTTATGGGTCGGTTGGCTTATTATCATTAAAAAAACAAAACGAAAGACATAAAGCTTCTTATTTGTAAAAGAAAAGATGTGGAAACACACATTTCTCTTGGGGTGAAGGCAATATCTAATCAGGGTTGGGGGTTTCAACATGAGCACCGTGGTCCCCTACAGGGACCAGGGTAGTTAGTCCTTTCTCTTCAGCAAAGTCCCATGTTCATCTTAGACCAAGGCTCTTCAACCTTTCTAATGCTGCGACTCTTTAACACAGTTCCCCATGTTATGGTGACCCCCCAACCATAAACTTATTCTTGTTGCTGTTTCATAACTGTAATTTTGCTACTGTTATGAATTACAATGTAGTAAATATTTGATATGTCTGAGTTCTTAGGAGGCTCCTGTGAAAGCGTTGTTTAGGCCCCCAAGGGGTCATAACCCACCCACGGGTTGAGAACTGCTGTCTTAGTAGGACGAAACCTGTAAGGAATTAATTCGGTATGTTGCTCTTCAAACCAGTTTAGTTCAACCCACAGCTCAAATTGGGACTTGGCTATGCTTGTAGGTCTTTAGAGAAGATTTGATAATCTCCATCTAAATTTTCCCATTATTGCCAAGAATATCAGAGTGTTATTCTCTGATATTCTGCCCCCTCACTGTGTGTGTGTATGTGTGTGTGTCTTTCTCACATATACGGTTTTAATTTTATATACCTGCCATCCAAGTTCTCCAGAAGGCTGCGGTAGGTGGCGATCTCACACTCCAGCCGGGACTTGGTGTCCAGCAGAACTTCGTATTCCTGGTTCTGTCTTTCCAGGGCACTCCGGATGTCTGCCACCTGAGCCTCCAAGTTATGGATCAGACCCTGAATTTGGGCCAGCAGGGTTGTGTAGCGGGCCTCTGTCTCTGTCAGAATGCATTCCTGGGAATCTCTCTATGTGGGAAGAGGAAAACAGATTCAAATGATGACTCCCTTAAAATTCCCTTAAGATCCTTCTTAAGGTCATTTTAAATAATCGTTTCTTTGTGACAGTGCTAATGGCCCTCTACGCCCTTTATTACTTCCTAGCCAAGTACATCTAAGGAAAAAATGATAATTCTGTTTTCTTTTTATCCCCTCTCTGGTTTATTTCTGCACCCCCACACCCACCATTTAATCTGTCACCCTCTGGCTCATGAGAGAGAGGGAAAAATCTGCCTCACTTCACTGAAGCTCTGACATTAAAACCATGCCAGGATACCTCATTCAGTTGGCATCTGAGTCTTTCAAAGGAAGTGGGCATTTCCCTCAGTGGATCAATTTTTTTTATAAGTAAAACATGAGTGTTGAAAGTCGAATGTGTCAAGTTCTTTCTTGTTCTATCATTTTGCAAGTCTATAGATAATGGGATTTTAGGTTTTAATAACCCTGGTTATTCACACTATTATCTCAATTTTTATAGATGACAAGAATGAGGTTCGATGAGTTGTCCAACATCACATAACTAACAGGTGATGAAATCTGGGGCAAGGTTTTCCTAATGCTCTTCCTAACAGGACATTTGAGTACTGTCTTATTTCAGAGATGCAGTCTTAGGAAACGCTGCTGGCTCTGAGATCTGATCCTGACACATTTCTTTGGTGACTTTGAGAAGGTCACTCACTGCTTTAGATCCCAGTGTCTCCATCTGTGAACTAGGTGTGATGGCATTTAGTGTGGATCTGGCTTGGGTAAATCCTCCGCATTCTTGGGACCTCACCAGTAAAGTTGGGTAATGGTTTACATCATCTCTTTCAGAACTTTGTTTTAGAATTCCAATATGATAGTTTACAATAGTGCTTTGCAAAAAATAAATCAAATTCTCTCCTGGTGTTTCTATGGGTCATAATCAGTATGATATACCCTTGTGGAGTGTGGGGGGTGTAGGGAGAACTTCTACAATCAAATAAGTTTTGGAATGCTAAGTACTGCATATCTCCTTTTTGGAGATCCATGGTGTATGTCACCTTGTAGGGCAGCTGTAGAAGGGCAAACTTTTGTTTAATCCAACATTTCCAAGACTTACGCGACCATGAATTTCTTTTTTAGCCACAGACCCCTTAACCAACAGGAACACAGTCTAGGAAATAGTGGGACACTCAGACAAGGACTGTTGCCACCAGAATAAGGTTAGGCATGGTCAGCCTCCTGGGTACCATTCGGTGTTGGGCCTGCAGTTCAACCTCAAGGGAACTCATGGTACGTCTCAGTTCAATTAAGTCCTTCTGGCAGCATTGTTGTTGTTGAGAGCTGGTTATTACTTGTTGATTCAGTTCCTCCATCTGTGGAAACACAAAGATTCCAGGCATTTTGTAAGGAAGCATGACTCAAAGAAGGACTCCTAGAATGGTCAGCATATTAGTTTTGACTTGTTTGCTCTCCCCACCTGTGTATTGAACCATTGTTCTATGTCTTTACGGTTTGTCTCCACAATGGACTCGTAACGACATCTCATTTCTTGTAGAATTTTATTTAGATCAATGGAAGGGGCAGCTGTTACTTCAATGTTGATTCTGTCCCCAAGTTGGCACTGTAAGGAATTGATTTCCTATGGAAAGAAAAAGAATGTGAAGTTATTTAGTGAATCAATGACTCTTCCCTACCATGTTCTTGTTTCAATCTGACAAATAATTAAGTTTGACTGGGTTTGGAATACATCCCACAACAAAGGGGTACATGATTTATGGGTGTTACTGAGATGCCCTACAATGATTGAAGGTGATTTCAGGTATGACTCTGTGCACAAATAATATGTGCGAAAAAAAGAAAGAATTGACTAACGAGATCAGCGTTTCAAGAGTTTTAAGATCATTTCTAGGAATGAGAAAATGGAGGCAGTAACACGGAGGTGGGTTTTGTATGAAAATACCACCATCTCCATGATGTCCATATGACATCATGTGTTAGAATTGACTTGCTCCAGAATTGGCTTTTTCCAATAGGAGGTGGAAGAAGTCTGTTCAAGGATTTCTATAAAAACCAGTGAAGATGAGAAAATTGCGATGATGGAGAATATTCTACCCATGTGGCAACAGATATAATATAGCAAGCTAGTGGTAAGAGCTGTGGTATCATGAGGGCTGACAAATGAAGAAATGCCTTGTGGGGGGATACACTTCGTTATGTACAATTAAAAGGAACCAATGATAATTTTAGGGTTTTAGCTTGTGCCGATTCTTAGCCTTTGTCTCACCTCTTCATGGTTAGTTTTGAGGCACAGGAGTTCCTCTGTCAGAGATTGGACTCGTGCCTCCTTGTCAGTCTTGCTCAAAGTCAGCACATCCAAGATCTGCCTCAGGCCATTGGCATCGGTTTCCACTAGCTGGCGTAGGGATAACTCAGCTTCATAGCTTTAAAAGTCAGAAAGAAAAGACAAGGCATTAGGAAGTAGGTGTACAAGGCAAGCTAGGCAGAACCTCCAGCTTCATTCTCCTCTGGGACGCTCACTGAGTGTTTCTATGGAAGACTTCATTCTTTGTAGAAGTGAAACCCTTTGATCCATATCATGACTTAATCTGCCAGAGGGATGCCACTTTGCTGTCTTTAGAGATGAAGGAATTTATTTTCCTTCCTTCCTTTGCTCCCAAAGACAACACATTATAAGAAAACCACTGGGTTTGGGTTCAGAAAGCCTGGGTCTGCATTTTTGGCTCTGTCTCGTATTGCAAACTTTTGTGTAAGTTTCTTCCTCATTATACCAAGGTTTTCTTGCCTGGGCCAAGGTTACCCACCTATCTCACTGCAGGTAATCCTATGGGTCTGTATGCTGTCACTGCAGGTGCTGTGTATCATGTTAGGGCTATTAATCTCAAGCAATTGAATCTGAAGGTCTTTTCTGGGTTAGTGTTGATAAGCTATGGTTAGTGGATGTGGGGACCGTCTCCTTGGGAATGTTTAAGTCAGACCCGGGGTGGATCCTATCACCGGCGACAGTGCTGGGTAGGCTTACTTGGCTCTTAAGTCATCTGCAGCCAGTTTGGTGTTGTCAATTTGTGAGACCAGTCTGGAATTCTCAGCCTTGGTACACAAGATCTAGAATTAAGAGATTGAACACACAAATGAGACGAACACCAGGATCCCCTACTTTAAGAACCAAAGGGCCATGTGTTACTTAGCAGAAGACTAGTTAGAATTTTCCTGAATCTTCAGAGGGATGCTTAAGAAATATGGGAAACATTGGAGAATCAGAGTTCATGTTATTTTTTCTGAGATTAGTGAAAAGCCATGTAAATAAAAAACTTTTTTTGTATATTTTTCTATTAAAATATAGTATCTTTTCTAATTTTCCCCCAATTTACTGTGACATACTAGAAAGCAAATCCTTGATCTCAAAGGCTAGAATGGTAGCTGCAACATTTTTGTTGGTGTTCAGTAAATATTTGTTGATAAAAACAAAAGCTAAGCAATCTCTGGACAGGAAACTGAGGTTTGGTATAGCGACACAGTAAATGCTGTGAAGATGACAACATGGGCATTAAAGGTCCTAGTAGTTACTAACATAGATTAAGGCTAAAACTATTTGGAGACTTTAAAAAACAAAACATCTTCTTAGAGCCCTGTTCCCTTATTTTTATTTAAGATATGGTAGCAACCCATTAGCTTTCAATCCTGAGTTATTTGGTTATAAAATGGCAGAACACACATTAAATAAAAAAATATAGAAAACTTTGTGTGTATTATCCCAAAATGAATTTCACTCAAGGGAAATCGAGTGAAATTTCCCTCCCTCCCTCTCTCCCACCCTCCCACCTTCCCATCCTCCTGCCCTCTCTCCCTCTCCTGCCTTCCCTCTTTCCTTATTTATTTTGTCTTTTCCAGACAGGGTTTCCCTGTGAACCTCTGACTGTCCTGGAACTCATTCTGTAGATCAGGCTGACTTGGAACTCAGAGAATTAATTACCTGCCTCTGCCTCTCAAATCTTGAGATTAAAGGCATGTACCACAACAGCTAACTTCTCTTTTTATTCTTAAAAACATACCAGCATAGAAGGATCTAGAAAGACTAAAATGTAACAGATAACCCATAGTTTGATTCAGCACTTTGACACACTTTGACGAGTTCTTACCTTCTGCTGTAGCTCCTCAATGGTGGTGTAGTAGGATAGGTAGTCAGAACACAGGACAGGCAGTGCCTTGCTGCACTCCTCCTGGATTTTGTTTTCTAGTTCTGAGTTCTCCCCTTCCAGCATCCGCACCTTTTCCAGGTAGCTAGCAAGGCGTTCATTCAGAGTCTGCATGGTCTCTTTCTCGTGACTGTTAATGCCTTCGCTGCACCAGCTGTAGTCTTCCAGACAAGGATGGAAATGGTAGGGTCTTATCAAGTAGTTAGCGGTGCGGTAAAGGCAAGGAGTGGGCCCACAGCCCCGGCTCTGGGGAGTTCTTTGAGTAAGGCCAGTTGGTTGGCTATCTGGACAACAGTTGTTGTTAGAAGAGCTGATCCGAAAATTTGTATCTCCAGAGCTGTTTTGGGGTGCAGTTGAAGAAGAAATAGTTACTGTAGAACCCTTGGTCTCCATAGTGTGTGTCCAGTTTCAGGTTGTCCCAGAGTTTGTGGTCACCACCCGAAGCACCCTCAACTTATCCCAAATGCCAGTCCTGTGGCTGTTCTTCTTTGATGTTCTTATATAGCCTTCCTTCCAGGTGGTGACACAAGAGGTGGGGTGTTTTCCTTTCTAATGTTTATATCGAATCCCACAGGAACATCTCATTAATCTGCTTTTTACTCGCCTGAGAAGAGTTACCTGTCTCATAAAAATGTGCATTTAGATGGTTACTAAGTTATTACCCATCGCAACTACTACCTGTCATTGGGCCCAGAGCTTCACGTTGGGTCTTCAAAAGGAACAGCCGTCACACTCTCAACAGCATCCATCATTAAGCAGGTGTGAGTGTGTTAGGCTCTTTAAATCCTTGTTGACCTCTTTAGCTGGCATTCAGCTTCACCAAAAATGAGTCCAGCCTTCTTTTCCTTTCTTCTTTAGAAAAGGGAAACTATTAATATCTGAAAATTATTGGAGAACTTAGAAACCAGCATTTCATTTTGATCTGACCAACTCATTTTCCTATTTCCCTTACTCAGACATAGCAAATATGGATTAAAATGTTTAAACAGGACTTTACAGATCCAACTGTTGGGATCATGTCTGAGCTTTCCCGATAGGCTTTGAGTGCTAACAAGTACTAATATTTCTTAGGAAAGACACCGATTGCTTTGTGGTTGCTCACAGCCCATATCTTATAGCATTTTTATTGCTCAGTGTTTGCATGTTACATGAATCTGTTGGGTTTGATTTGATGTTGAAGGTAGGTGTGTTCTTTCTGAGAAAAACAGCATTTCAACATTTCTAAGAAGTCACTTGATTCTGGTGCTTCATGGAGGCTGTAAGAGAGGAAGATTTTCTCACTTTTCCTAGCTTCTAGAGGCCACCCACACCTGCTGTGTTTGGATAAATGTCACTTAAAGGTCAATGTGTCATTGGCTTGGTCAATCAATGTGGTTACTATGAGGAGATGGTTGAATCTTTGGGAGGTAGAGAGAAAATTAGATGAGTGAGGGTGATCTAACTGTGTCTGTGAAGGAGATCTTGGGCCCTTAGTACCATTCTCTTTGCCCTAGTTTGATTCCTATTGCTTTAGTAAACACCAAGACCAAAATCAATTTGAGGAAGAAAGGGTTCATCTTACATCTTACAGTCTATCTGAAGGGCAGCTAGGGCAAGAGCCCAAGCCAGAACCTGGAGGCAGGAATTGAAGCAGAGGCCATGGGGGAGCACTGCTTGCTGGCTTGTTCTCCAGGCTCATGGTCAGCTACCTTTCTTAAGCCTCTCAGGACCGCCTGTGCAGGGGTGGCACTGCCCACAGAAGGATGGACTCTTCCATATCAATCGTGAATCAAGAAAGTACCCCCCCCATGCCTATAGGACTATCTGAAAGAGGCATTTCTTCAGGCGAGGCTCTCTCTTTCTAGATGACAATAGCTGTTAGGTTGATAAAAACTAACTAGTATACTCCCTTTTCTCCTGGCCACCATGAAGCAAGCAGTTTCCTCCACCACACACATCCAAGTAGGCCATGGAGACAACTCAGCATAGACTGCACCTGCTGTAAGAATGAGCCAAAATACATGTTTCCTCCTTCAAAGTAGTTCATATAAATATCTTTCCCTCACGGTGATGGAATTCTGATGACTATCACATCCTTGGTTGATGGTCCTCTTAAATCTTCAAAACCAAAAGTGTCCCTTGAGTTTTGCTAATATCATACCACTCTGACACAGCTTTCACCTCTCTGGCCCATTTAAGGACCTCTGTGATAACAGTGGGACCACCCAAATAATCCAGCATAATCAGATAATTAGAAATTTTATGTCCCTTTTGCCATGCAGCATAATATATTACCAGATTCTGAGATTAGGGCATGGCCACGTTTGGAAGGAACCCATATTTCTTAATAGTAGCAACAAACATAAAATTAAGGGAATCCATTTTGTTTAAAAAGGTACAATATTTGCATAAAAAGCATGTTCAACTACATCTAAGGACAAAAAACTAGAGTACATAGAAAGGCATGTCATGCTTTTTGGTGGAATCATAATTCACATCATTAAATGAAATCTCAACTGTATGCTAATTTAATTAACATACCAATAATGTATTGAGACCCTCTCAAAAATAAATGTTTTTCTTGAACTTCAAAATATGACATTTTGAAGTTATATGAGAGGAATTAGTCAGGAAAACAGAAATAACCCTTTTAAGATGTTACAACAAAATGTAAAACTTCACTAATTAAAATAATGTGCTATTAATGTGTGAATAGTCAGACCAATACAATAGACCAAATATCCTTTGAAAAGAGTCCTAAGAAGATTTGGATTTAGTATGTGACAAACATGATGCCTAAAAGCAATGGGGAAAATGGAAACTGTCAGCTGTACTCTGGGGGACATTCTGCATCACTATGCATAGATGGTGAGTGCAGTCTCCCCCAGGACAGACATGAAACAACAGATGAGGGAAGGTGGCAGAAACTTCCAACAATAACTGGGAGGTACTTGGCGGGGAGAGCATAGAGGATGGCTGAGGATACAGCTTAGGTAGGATGAAGAGGAGGACAATGCTGGCTAGGTCAAGGCCATGCAGATAATCATTGCCAGTCAATGTGAAACCTGAATCATTTAGTTTGTTGGCTAACTTAAGATTCCTACAAATTTTATGTTTGTTGACTATCTCAATATTGATAAAGAAATACATCAAGATAAGTTATGCAGAATATCCACAGCATAGCCAGAATGCCCAAAGTGAGCAAATGATCCGGTGGTGGAAAAATGATGTTGACAGTCCCTACTGTTCCGTGACAATGTAGAGGGGCCTTTGTGGAAGAAGAGCATCAGAACTCCGGGAAGAGGGTGCTATGGATGGGAAGCAAACGTGCTTACAGGGGAAGCAAAATGGACCACGTGCTAAAGAAAACCCACATTAGGAGTCCATCCACAGATTGTGGCTTTGCAGGAATCAAAGGGGAATCAGCTCAATAGTGCAAAATAAGGAAGTGAGTCATGAGTGAAGCAACTAACAGGGAGTGAACCACTAATCTCAAGGCTTGCCTTTTTTGGTACTGAAAGTAATAAATCAACTTGTGGAATTTATATAAAAGAACACTGAAAGAAAGCTACTGATATTACTGTTATGTATCTCCGTCTGGTCTTCTTTATACAGCTTTGAGATTATGAAATGTCTCAAACGTTATAGTCAAGACTGTGGATATTTTATAGAGTCTTCATTTTGAGTTGCTGTTACAAAGCCCTTCCTCATTCTGAAGTTTTAGATGAATTTTACATTCTACATTTTCTTTTTAGCTTGTTTGTGATTTGCATTTTATTTTTGAAAGCTTGATCTGTTTGGAATTGGAATACATGAGGAGAGCAGCGAAGGTTCAAATGTACAGTTGCAGCACATCTTGATTTCTAATTTTTATAGCAGAGGTTTGGATGTAAATGCATGGGCACGCGCACGTGCACGCGTGCGCATACACACACACACACACACAAATAATCACTCAGATTAAGAGATAGAATAGATTATCAGATACCACCAGCCTTTTAACTTCATGTTCTGGGTGGTGGTGGAGCATGCCTTTGATCCCAGCACTCGGGAGGCAGAGGCTGGAGGATTTCTATGAGTTCAAGGCCAGCCTGGTCTACAAAGCTACACAGAGAAACCCTGTCTTGAAAATCCAAAAAAACAAAAATAAAAAAATTCAAACCAACGATTAACTTCATGTCCTTTCAAGCTAAATCACCCTGCTCATAGTGGCCACCACTTCAGACACTCAATGCTGTAGGCAAGCTTTGCTTGTTCTAGAAGCTTACACAAATGTAATCATATTGTTTATGCTTCCTTGTCCCTAAGTTCCTCACCTCATCAGGTGTCTGAGGTTCATCTGTGCTCTGATAACTAGCAGCTCATTATCACCTCTGTGGACTGCCATGCTATTAATTATGCCTCAGCTTATTGATATCGCTCTGTGTGAGCAGTTGGGCTATTTCTATTTTCGTTCTATTAAGAATATAGCCACTGTGAGATGTTTTGAATGAGTCTTTTCTGTAGCATGAAAAATAAAAGACCCAGAGATAGATATTAAGGTTCAAATTTCAAGCTTTCTGAATCATCAGGCATGCTTAATAAATCATAAACAACATATCACCATACTTCTGTATGTGTGCATATAGTTATTTCTCTTGGGAGCCTAACTGGATGTGAATTTTTGGGTCATAAGAAATGGATTTTTCTAGGTAGACACTGATATGTGTACAAATTCAAAATACAAATGTGTGTTTATACATAATGTTAATGGCAAGTCTTTTGTTTCATCTCTAGAGAGAATAGAATTTCAGTATAAATATACTAAACGAGAAGCCTAAAACATGTAACATGAATAATAAAAACCCAGAGACAGATATTGGGATTCAAGCTGAAGATCAGAAAAGCAAAAGGCCAACCATTAGCTCTTACCTCTACCAACGCTGAAATGGAGATTCTGTCTTCCCTGTGACTGGAACTAAATCTCACATGAGACTCTTTTCTTCTTTATATACCTCTCTAGTGCTGGGATTAAATGTGTGAGTTCTGTTACTCTTTAGACTGATTCAAGGGTGGCCTTGAACTCACAGAGATCCATCTGCCTCTGTCTCCTGAGTCCTGGGATTAAAGGTGTATGCTATACTGCCTAGTGTCTATGGCTAACTAGTGTGGCTAGCTTTGCATTCTGATCCCCAGGCAAGTTTTATTAAATCATAAGCAGTTTATCACCACAATACCTAACTAGAGAGGTATATAAGATAGGAACAGGGCATTCAGTATTCAGTATACTGGCAATTAGTCTCCAGCCACGTTGAGGACAGGATTCCCCTTCCAGTCTTGGTAGAGGTAAGAGCTCTCTGGTAGCTTGGCTGCTTTGCTTCTCTGATCTTCAGGCAAGCTTTATTAAATAATAAACAATATATCACTATAAAACA